CTGGCCACACTCTTCTTGATGCACCCCAGGATGCCATTCGCCTTCTTGGCCGCCAGGGCACATTGCTGGCTCGTGGCCATCCTGTTGTCCACCAGGACCCCCAGGTCCCTCTCCACAGAGCTGCTCTCCAGCAGGTCACCCCCAACCTGTACTGGTGCATGGGGTTATTCCTCCCCAGACGCAGTACCCCACACTTGCCCCTGTTGAACTCCATTGGGTTCCTCTCCACCCAACTCTCCAGCCTGGCGAGGTCAAGTCTGATGTCATTTATTCCAGCAGGAGACCTCAGCATCACCCTGTTTCCCGATGTTAAAATGGAGAAGAGGCTGACTGGTTGGGTCCCATTTTTTTGGAAGGGACTCTTGATCTGGAGCATTTCAGCTCCGCTCCAGGACACCTCCCGCAGCCGATGTCCCTTGCACCGCTCCCTGTCACCTTCTGAAGGAGCCCTGGGCAAGCTCTGACCCCGAAACGCGCCTTTACCTCATCGAACAACTGCAGCATGATGGTGAGGACGTCTGGGTGGGCTTTGTCAACCTCGTCGAAGAGCACCACCGCATTTGGGCACTGCCTCAGCTTTTTGGTGAGCTGCCCGCCCTCCTCGTGGCCCACGTAGCCCGGCGGAGAGCCGATAAACTTGGCGACCTAGGAGGAGGCAAGAGGAGACGTCTAAGTTGACCCGCGGGGGAACGAAGCCCTCTCGGTACTGAGCAGCTCAGCAGGCGGCCACCACTCTTCGCTGTTGAAAAATCCAGTTCCATAATCCTTGTGATGTCTACCGCACCCCAAAATCCGCTTAATCAGCAGTAATTTGGCAAAATGGAGACGGGCGGCTGCTGAGCAATGACCTGTCCCAGAGCTTTAACCGGCACAGTCTGCAGGAGCCGCCACGGGCAGGTCAACAGGCACCACTGCTGCTTTTCTGGAGTGCCCGAGCGCCCCGTCCCAGCTCTCCGAGACCTGTTCCCATCTCCTTCAGCCTTTTTGAGGGCAACAATTCAAAGAACTATGAGCGGTAGGCGGCTCCGGTGGGACAGCAAAGCTTGGGAAGAGGCCACAAGGGATGTATTTTTCCCACGTCAATAACCCACTTCCCTACTTGACACCCAACATTTTTTTTAAATGTGGTTTAAAAATTTAGAAGATTATTTAGAAGAATAGGTGGTGATCCCCTGGGGCAGGTTGCCCCGAGGAGCTGTGGCTGCCCCATCCCTGGAGGTGTTCAAGGCCAGGTTGGACGTGGCTTGGAGCAACCTGGGCTGGGGGGAGGTGGCCCTGCCCATGGCAGGGGTGGAACGAGATGGTCTTCAAGGTCCATTCCCAACCAAAGCATCCCGTGATCCCACCATTCTCCCATTCAAATGGCTCCTTTGTGCTGATCCGGGTGCTCGAGCGCCGCTGCTCCCACGGCCGCCGTACGGAGGTGAGGGGGGTCCCGCTGACTCGGGGACACGAGCGCAGAGATCAACCCACGGCAGCTAATTCCTCGCCTTCGTTCGGCAGCGCCCGGGGCTACGTGAGGCTCCCCAGCCTCCTTCAAAGGACGCCGTCTCCCGGGCTGACCTCCCGATCCCCCTTTGCTTGAAAAATGTATATCGCTCTCGCCGCGATTCTCTACCTTACGCCTTCCCTTCGCTCTGCCTCTTGTCTTTCTCAGGGCGCAGCATTTCGTATCTTACATTTATACTGCTGCTCCGAACTCCTCTCTTTGTACTGAATCATCAACACGGCTTTATTTTTATCTATTTTTCACTCCCCCGCTGCGGCACCCCACCGCGACCCGTCCATCGGGCCGGCGGTGAGCACGTCTTTCTCTCCCCGCACCCCTTCGCTTCTCTGCTTCGGATAACCCAACGCGTTTTCTGGACCTTTTCTAGCCCTGGCCATCCCGGGGTGATGCTCAGGCTGCCGCTGCCTCGAGACCCGAATGGGCAATACCTTGTCCCAGCCCGGCGCGCTGAGCGTGAGGGTCTGCCTCCAGCTCTTCGGCAGCAAGAAATGCCCCCCCCC